TTGGTACCGGCACTAAAAGATATCTAGCCTTTCGTGACAACTATGTCGTCGATTAGTTAATATATGTCATAATATAGGATTTGTGACACTTGCATGACAAAAACTGGTTCAACTATCTTTCATCTCTAAAGTCCTTCTATGATGAATCGAAGTTTTTTCTTCATAGAATTTGTAAAGATTTTTTTGCATGGTCACTACTATTATGACATTACTTGTTTTCATTTATTACTAAAAATCATCATAGATTATACCAAGTGTCCAAAAAATCATAAAATATTGCACCTTAGTGACATGGATCTAATGTGGTAGTGGTTATGATGTTTTATGTACATGGCATGGCAATACATTATGACAAATGTTGTTGTCTTAATTTTGTCAAAGACCCAATTATATATGGGCCAAAGCCATTATACTTATCATAACAATTTGAAATACATTTTAGAGAAATACTTATCATTGGTTGATAGCAACTTGCATTGTATTGGTTAACCCAGGAGAGATCCTTCTCTTTTGCCACTGCCTAATGCGTCGCCACCGCCAAGAAGAGATCCGTCTCCTCCTGCTCCTATGTCGTCGTTGTCACCATAGCTATAAGCTAAGTCCTAGGACAAAGGCCGCACATCAAGGTCTACTATATTGAAGAAAATGTCCAACCCCTCGGTAAATCAGGCTCGCAAAACTCATGTGAAAAGAAAGTAGATGGGTGAGAACATGTCGGTGTTTCGTAGACCGACTAGTAAATTTATACGATTGTTGCGCAACTCTAGGAAGATGATGGTAGCATCCAAAAGATACAAGGATTTATACTGGTTCAGGCCGGAGCCCTACATCCAGTCTCAGAGATGATCGAGTGTGTGTTCCTCGCTTGAATGCTCTGAAGTTCTTACAATGAGGGGTGCAAGAATGGTGGAAGAGGTAGGAGAGTGGAGCTAGAACTAGATGATGGACTGCTCGAATGAGAGCTTCGAGAGTCCGATGCCTGAGAAGGGTGCCCTGACTGCCCTTATATAGAGTCCGGGACTAGGTCACATACAAAGACGGAGGTTCTCCCGATCGAGGGGCCGTGAGCCTGAGGGAGGGGGCCTAGCTAACTTGGCTTGCAAGAAACACAATTTTGTCTTGGTGTAGCGCACGTCCGGGTGTGGCCGTCGTCATGGTCTTGTGCCCACGTAGCGGCATCGTGTGGCGTGGTGCTACTGTGCTGGTTGTGGTGACACTATAGGAATGGTGATGGTTCGCCAGCCGTCCTGCATGACATGGTCTCGCCGTGGCCTTCGTCGTTGCCTCCTGATCTCCTGGGGGAGCCATACGGGAGTTGGTAGCCGCCCCTAGGTCATTGGTCATCTTGTTGCTTGTGGAGCTAGTGGCCATGATCCCGAGCTCTAGGGTCGTGGCCTTCGTTGGCTTGGATGGCCTCAAAAGTCAAGGCCGCCGTCGTGGTCCCCATCCCGTAGTGGGTGGGGTCGTACATCTGTCTCGTCGGGCCGTATTTGGACATTGGATCATCATACTGGCCATCGGTGTTGTCTTGTCTACGCTACATGGCGTAGGGATGGCATCTGATCGGGTTAAGGGGACTGTTGTTCCCTTGGTCCTTGCGGGGTCAATGCAGTGTGCATGCTCTTGTTAGAGCAGACATGCTTGGCAGAGCTCGATCTCTCCCCGTTCCTCTCAAGGGTCGGGACGGAGGAGAGGTCGTGAGGCGTTGCGCGGTATGTGGTGAATGCAGAGGGAAGAGGTCGTGGCCAACCACTGCCTTGGCGTTTGGCCCAGGTCCGCATAGCTTAGCTGGGCCTTAATCGTTTGGGCTTATACTAGCTTGTGTACCGTGAACCGTCCAAGCGGCTAACTAATCGGTGCCTTGAGATACCTGAGGTATCATAACCCCAACAGAGCATAACTAGCCTAATGAAAGAGCCACGTCAGCCGGAGACACTCACCAAGGAAGAAAATCTCTCCTTGTTGAAAAGGTTAGAGAAACCCCTGAAGATATATTATATATATATAATATATATATATACTAGTCCATTACGTGCGCCCTCGCGTGCGCCGACAAATCACCTGGTTAAGGCGCAGGTAAAGAACATGTTTAATCTTTTCATGAAAACAATATTAGGAGTTTAATGTAGATATATCATGCAAAAAAACTGAAAGATTGAAGCTTTTTTTATATGGTGCAGGAGACATCTATTCTGAATACTTTTGAAATCATGGCATTTTCTATGTGTGGTAATCACAAATTTACAACATAAATTTTAGAACAGTGTCTTAAAACCTCAAGGCCACACAAAGCACTTTAAGCTAACACCGATGATTAAAAACTTCCACATTACTAAAAACCTGACAGCCGTAACATACCTGAAATCATTTCAATGTTACGAAGCTGAGTTAAAACCCTCGTGGCATACTGAAACCTATAGAAAATGTGCACACAAATTGGAGCATCAGTTTAGGAACTAAGAAAATAAATCTATCAAAGATTTTTAGAATAGGACGGTAGTAGGAAGCAAGAGCAACATAAATATAGCTGCGGCAAGAGGTATGTTTACTGTGTTCGAATCAATGAAATTGATGCTATATTTATACATCACAGTCATTGAGCTCATCAACAGTCACATAAATAAGGACATGAACCATTTTATTTTATTTTATTTTGCGATAGAAGCATGAAACAAAGTGGCATGATTAATAAATGTTCATCAACAAACCTATAAACTGAGTAGAAATCTAGAGTGAGCATTACAGATAAAGTCTCAGACTTGGACAAATAAAAGAGAGTGTGCAATATTCTCTGTATTCTCTGTTGGATAAATTTCAGTTAGACCACTGGACCATTGTTTATAAAAATTTAGCAATCCTATGCCAAGCTCAAGATGGCATAGTAATCACCTGATATTTCAAATTCAGATGAATCACCCTTGGCAGAAAATTCTTTGTTTTAGCTCCTACCTCACAAAATCCAAACAAAAGCAAATAGGTGACATTAGCACTTACCTAATCTCTCTAGAATGAAAGGAAGGGTAACTCTTAATTCAAGCTGTTTGTAATCCTCGTCGCCATTTTTTTGTTGCATTGCTCGCCATCCACGTGTACAAATTATTTGTTCTCAAACACAAAGCACCTATATTGGCAAACCAGTAAGGCAATTTCGGAAATAGTGAGCACTGAAAATAAAATTATAGTCCAGGATTGCAAGCCGCCATGCTAGCAGTCTAAGTAGGAAACAAATTCAAGCTGATTGTAATCCACATAAGCTGTTTTTTTGTGACCTACATCGGCAAACCAACGAGTCATGTAAAAACTAATCCTATAACCTATTATTCAAGCAATAACAAGAGCACCAATCCTCTTATTCTCATATATTATATACTTTAGTTGCAGTAAATGTCTGCAAAAATTCCCCCATTCCATTGACTACTTACTGAAAGTAGAACACTGCCACAATAACACAAACCACCTAACAAGCTCACGATTTAGAACATTTTCAATAAATATACTCTAGATATAAAATATGAACTAATTAACTAAATCAGAATAGACATAAAACGGGGAAACCCAAAATCGGGGGATCCCCAACAAATCATTGGGGAGAGCTAGCCCACATCGCTCCAGCATGAGCAGTACACCAAAATCAGAAAGGCAGATGTAGCTATGAGAAAAAAGAAAAAAAGATGGAGAGAGAACGAAATAGAACTGGAGGATGGGGGGAATAGAAGGGAGGAGAGGAGGAGGCGATGATGCACGCTTTCTACCGACGCCTAGGAAAGCGGTGAGGTGTGCCGACGCAGGAGCATCCCGTGGCGCACACCTTTTGGGACCATCCGCGCACACTGCACTGCTCACAAGCTCTCGCCCCGCAATGCTGCGTCGAGGGGCACGCCGGGGGAGGGGGGAATCCACGCCATCGCACCGGTGCGCCACGGTCCCCCAAGGCCGCCCCGAGAGAAAGACGCCACGCACAGCCGGACCCTTGAGCACAGTGTACCTAGGGTTTGCTTGAGCACGTGCACCTAGGGGCCAGCCAAGCGAGGCATGGAGGCGGCCTCATTCGGCCTAGCTGGTGCATCGGGAGGAGGGAGAGGAAGGGGAGGCCCAGGCTGGGAGGGACGCTGAAGGCGGCGTGCCCGCTGCGGGAGGAGCGGGTGAGGCGGAGGACGAGGCGAGAGGCGGAGGCACGCGCGTTTTTTCAAGGGAAGGATCACGATGGAGAATCGGAAGGCCACGTATATATTTGTTGGGCGGCTCCGGAGAGAAGTCGGATAGCAGCGAGAGAAACAGAGAGGAAGCCGTGGAAGGCAAGAAGGAGCGGCGGGAGCTGCTTTAGCGAAAGCTACTCCGAAGTTTTCTGGGCCACAGGATGGAAGATCCAATGGATGATAGATATGGAGCGACATGGACGTGTGTTCCATCAGCCAAAATATCCATCAGACTACGAATGACAACACATGAAAGCATCCAACAAAGCAAAAGGTTGACAAGTACATATCAAGAAAAAGATAAAAAAAGGTAGAAATTAGTTGAAGAAATGTGCATGACAGAGGAAGAGTTGCTAATATTAGAGCATGGAAATTTTGAATTGAAATCGGCAACTATTGCATACTAGTACGAGCATGCAAAGATCTATTGGAGCACAAAGAAAGAGATCGATGAATTGTTGAAAAGTATTTGTCAACTACATGAATGGTATAAAATACAGAGCACTCTGAAGGACCAAACAATGTTTGGAGTTAGAATCCCAGCAGAGATATTTCATAATAAAGAAGACACGATATTTGGGTACCGAGGGAGTAGTCACTTCGGTGGCCCCCTAATTAGCTCAAGGACGGAAAGCTTGATACCGGTACTATTTCATTTAGCGTACTCTTAACTCCAGTAGTTACTGACTGGCTAGCTAATTAATTATACACCCACAGCAGCAGCACTGAACGCGTAACTCAGTAGTACAAACAAAACTAATGTTCAGAAACTTAACACACGAGCTAATATAACTAGCTAACAGTTTATGGGTGCTTGACGTCTTGGGTGTATATGTAATCCGTGTGCATCTCTGTCCATTTTGGCGTATCATCACACGACAGTTCGCCCTTGTCTGCACTTCCTGTACCACTTCCCGTAGCGTCACTGCACGGTTCCTGCAGATTATTCAGCAAATAGCACACCAATTATTTTACATATTCTGCATATAATATATATACTTAATTATCTGGACTTGTGGTTGTGGATTAGCATGGATATATGAACATATATATACTACTACTAATAATAAAAAAAGGTAATCCCCCCATCAACAGTTTGGTAATACTTGTGTCATCCAATCGCATGTCAAAACGTGGGCAGAGTATGCAAGTGCGGCTTGCATCATGTGTAGTGTAGATAAGCATGTGAATATGTATCGGCGCCATCAAGAACGGTGCTGCCGTTCTGGGTGCCATAGATAGATATCTGGGGCTGCTTCACATCACATGCTATTGCCCTCCAAACTCTCAGCACAATGCAATCAAAAGTTAAATAACAGCAGCAGCAGCAGCCAGAATGATGCACTTCTTAATACTCAAGGGAAGCGTGCGTATATATATACCAGCAGGCACAGCTCTCTCTGTCTTCAAGGAACACAAGAATATACGTGCTGCATCAGTATATGTCTACGCAACATTCTAATTTCTCTCTGTGTGCATGCATTGCCTATAACTGAATGATGAGTACTTTCCCTATGCGCAAGAAACCATTCATGAATACAGCATACCCATAGCTTAAGCACAAATATAGTAAGACAAGATTCGGATGAACCGACCAAAATATGTTGACGCAAAATATATATAATGTGCATTCGATTTGCTGGCTTGCTGCAGTAGTGAAGTACCATTTTCAGAGAGACGTTTAGCATAGCAGACTAGCAGTAGTTACGAAGATTCAGAGAGACGCTTACCAGGGTGGTGCTTCGGCCAGCAGCGCCATGGTTGCCAACAAGGCCACCATGGGTTTCCTTCTTCTCCTGCTCCGTCCACAATAGCTTCCTGGACTGAACATCCTGGACTAGCAGCAGAGCCACCATGCACAGAAGGCAGGCCACTGCCATGGCGGTTCTCCTCCCGTGCATCATTGTGCCTTGACCAGAAATGAGAGACTATGTATGCTCTGGTCTGATTTGATCGATCTCCGTCCTCCCTTTGGTTTACTTTTCTTCAGTTCCTTCTCTCGGTCACTGCTGCTTTTGCTACCATGTCCAAACAGAAGCACCAGGAAGAACATATATATAGGCAAGCAATGGAGGTTGTAGACGACGATGGTCGATGGACGTGTACGTACATGCGCGGTTTATTTCTTGGGAAAATATCAGGCGTGCCGCGTGCACACCGCGCATGCGCTAGCATCTCCGATGTGATACCAGGGCAGTCCCAACGATGTATCGTTGATGGTTTCTATTCTCATTAAATGACTTGCCACGTAGATAAAATGCTGACATGACAACGTAATTAATGAAAAAAGAGAGAAAAATCCTAGAAATTGTTTCCTCATGAAAAAATCAGGTCTTCTCTGGATCCAATGCACCAAAAAAACATGAAATTATCATTGGGGAGAAACCACCAGTTTTTAGGGGCTCGTGCCGCACTCTCATTGGAGGAAGAAGACAGAGTTGGGAGAGAGAAAGAGAAAATAATTATTACTCATAAAAATCATGGGTTGAAAAGCAGTACTTTTTTAGTGCGATAATTATTACTCATAGAAACCATTATAGAAATTACTGATTTTTTTTATTGGAACTGCCCTGAAAGGGGTGTTTGGTACGTGTGCCTCGGCTCACCTCGCGGTGCTGAATTAAAATCTCTGTGATCCCATAGCCCATTTGCCTGGCGCACCGCACTGTTCACATTTGACTTTTGCAACTTTTGCACGCACCGAGTATCCTGCCAGAACACGACCCGGGTAACGAGGGCACCCTTGCACGTCCGGCCGATCGAGGCCATGCACATACCGATGCGAGATGTTAATGTGGTACGTTGACCAAGTGGAGGAATAAAGCGAGGGAGACACGAGCAAGGAAGACTGAGAATGGCATTGGGCGATGCGAGTGAGTGAGAGGAGACCTCTGCATCGGGAGGAGCACGGTGAGTGGGAGTGCCTAATTAATGGGTTCCGATCCAAAGTCAAATCTCAAACCAGGTGCCCAGGCCGTGCGCAAGCGCAAAGCTTCCATCCCCTTCTCCTTGCAGGGTTTTGGCAGAGGCTGGACACATCCTTGGGGAACGGAACAACGTCTATGCATTCACATGTGTCATGTGTGGATCATGGTTCAAAGGTATTGACTGAATTTTGTTTAGAACAAGTACTCTATACTACCCTCCGAAACTGTGATGGACACATTAGCACATTAGTTGAGTTGGCGATGTATTGACAAAGACAGAGGAACGGTTTAAAGAAATGAAAACCACCCCACTAAGGGCGTCAAGTATCATTTCAAGGTGCTCGACCGGATCTCCTACGGCAACGGCGCTGCTGCCGATTTTTCCTTCTCGGCGTCGCCCGCCTTCCCCCTTTCCTTTTTGGTGTTAACTCAATCTCCAACCCAAGCCACATCCCTGCAGGTGAGCGGCAGCGGTTTGTCGACAAGTCGGGGGTAGGGTGACCTCGGTAAGCGGTGGCCTAGGCCAGTTCTCGGGTGTGTGGCGGGCGACTTTGGAAAGCCGGGCAGTGTCAGCAAGCGGTGGGGCACTATCATCAGCAAACGGCCGAAAGGCCTAGGCAACAATGACGAGGGGTGACATGGCGATTTTTTTTAATTTTAACACTTTTTAGAAACTAATTTTAAATCTAACACGGTCGGGTTTTTTTTAACTAACACTTTTGGCCGCGCCTATTGCTCCGGCGTGGCCAAATGCCTGTGTCGTCCCATGCATGGTGGCGCGGCAGAGGTCTGACATGGCGACGACCGGAAACGCGTTCGCTGACGTGGCATGGCTCTACCGTGCCACCGATCTTATTGCGGCAGTTGCCGCCAAAGCGCATGGGCGTGTTGGGCCAATAAATATCGCGAGCGAGCCCCAGCCAAGCACGCACCTCGCCGCCCGCCACCATCAAGACGCTTCACGCCACCAGCCAGCCATGGCCAGATGTGGCTGACGCCTGCCTCACTTCGCGCCAAGGCCAAGCAAGCGCCATGAACGCCGGGCGCTGTCCACGAAACGCCTGGCTCCTAAGGTACCTCCTCTCGATTTCATGTTATTTTGATTATTATTGTTTTAGGATAATTAGTGATTTAGGATAATTAGTAATATAGGATAGTTAGGGTTTTATGATTATTATTGATTTATGATAGTTAGTAATTTAGGATAGTTAGTGATTTAGGATAGTTAGGTTAGTGAATTTGTTTGTGATTTATGTAGGTAGTTTTAGGTTTGAGGTAAGGATTTTGGGTTTAGGGATTGTGTCGGGTACCATAAAAGGGGTACCCTAAGCAAAGACCGAAAAAATTGCTTAGACTTGTAAATATCGGCCAAAATACAACCGCAGTAAAACCCCATTTCATCCGAGGCCCGATCGATCGCTTCGCCCACCTCGAACAACATCCAGCACGAATCGAAGCGAGGCTCGGCCTAGAACCATACCACGAGGCCTCTGACGAGGTACCGATTATCCGACTTCGCCCGAGGCCCTGTGCGCCACGAGGCCTCGGACGAGTCACCGATTCTCCGACTCGCCCGAGGCCCCGCGCGCCACGAGGCCTCGGGACGAAGCACCCGCCATCGACTTCGCTTTCGAGGCCGGCTCGGCATCAACCCCGTCCACCGCGCTTTGACCGACTTCTCTGACGGGACGTCACATCCAACTAAAGCGTTCAACCACTCCCACAACGTCAGCCGCACGACGGCACGGTACAGCGGAGTGGCCGACGAGACGGAAGTCACATCAACGCCATCCATCCGGGACAGATGTATGGGGTTACCGCCGTATTGTGCTCGTCATCAGGTTTCACGGCCGACGCCTGTACTCTGCTGTCTTGCCTAACCCCTGCTCCAAGGACAGCGCAGCGTGGAAAGTCATGCCTGTGTCCTCAGAGCCTCGGAATCGACGTACAAGGCCAATCGCTCTCCGAGCCTCGGCTAACCGCTCCCGGTTCCTCAGAATTCTCGGGGCTTGCGCCCACCGAGCCCCCACAATGGTTCACCTCTACACCGACCGGGCCTCGGCTCTCTACATCGACGACAGCGCTTAGGACCGCACGTCGCCCGCATAATCTGCGCACGCATACTGTCGAGTCAGCAGGAGCTCCCACGTCGTACACAGGCCTAGCTCCTAGCCTCTAATCAGCGACCCAGCCGTCGCATCAACCGGCCTCGGCTCTCCGCGCCCGGTCAAACCCTCTGATGACCAAAGACGTCTCCAGCAGAAGAAGGCGCGCCACCGCCACCACAGGAGCTCCCACATCGCACAGATCGGGCGTGACCGGCGTGTCGCTTCTAGTGCAATCAAGATAAGACCGCTCCACCGACCATACCGCCACAAAGAACAAGCTACGAGGCTTTCGGACATGCCGCCTCCGCCAAAAGAAAAATGCCACGTAGCAAATACATGTACCGCCTCGTGTGCCTTTCTTCGACTATAAAAGGGAGTGACCAGGGCCGCTCCTAGGCATGAGACAACCCGCAAGCGACGGACAACAACACCCTATAACGCACACACTTTCACTGCAAAGAGATCAACATCTCAAGCAACCCTTTACTCCTCCCAGACACTCGGACAGGCCCCCCTCTCGCTCGACCTTTGTAAACCCCTACTACGAGCACCTCGGTGCAAGGAATACAAGATCGCTCTCTCGAGATCGGACGTGAGGGCACCTATTGCTCTAACTGAAGATAAACCTTGTGTCTCTTTGCATCACCATCTCGGGATTAGGGACACACAAGACATTTTCACTTGTTGGTTGAGGACCCGCCGGGTCCAAAACAATTTCAAGCATTGATTAGGTATTTATTATTTAGTTTATAGTTAGTTATTTAGTTAGGGATTTTGGGTGTAGATACTAGTTTACAAATGTCGGTACTTACTAGTGCGTGATACGTTGATTTTGATGACTTCATGAAGTTTCAATCAAATGCTTATATTCCTAGTGAAGTTGTTTATGTTACTAGTGCGTGATATGTCTCATTAATTTTACTTTAAATATATACATGTGCTTTCATATTGCATAACAAGTAGTTCAAATTTTGCAATGCTACATAATGTTAATTTGAATTTTGTTAATTTGAATACTCTAACACTTTATTTATCAATTTGTAACAGATGGCCCTCTCCCACGCAGACCTACCCGTTGTACCCCATTCTTGAGGTGGAGTACGACTCACCATCACCGAAAGCACACATCTTGAGTGACAACGACGCAGAGATAACCTTGCCTCCTTTGAGGCCCTGCACGCACACCAGGGCGCACCAGTGGGACGAGCGTTATGCACCGTACATACGGCGTGCCGGCTTCCTCGAGCTTGTCCATGTTGTCAACCATGGTCTTCCGCTCCTTGACCCAATACTACTTATCGCAGTCAGAGACAGGTGTGTGAGTGCATTATTTGTAATGTAAACCTTCTTGTAATAAATTTGAGGTAACTAACAATGTTTCTATTCTTATAACGGTGAAGGCCTGAGACCCACATGTTCCACCTACCTTGTGGCGAGATGACCTTGAGCATGCAGGACGTGAAGGCTATTTTAGGGCTTCGGTTGAGGGGACTTCTAGTGACAGGGATAGTTGACAACGATCACTGGAGGAAGCCGGTGGCTCGCCATCTTGGCTTTCTTCCACCGAATCGACGAGGCTTCCAAGAAAATAAGTGAGTAATTCAAGTCTATTTAATACTTGCATTGCTTTCCCCAAACCCATCGGGTCTCATTTTCTTTGGTCAATTTTAGGAAAAGTTCCAGATTTCGTCAATCCCGGATCACGAGCGCTTTGATTACTTGGACCCACAGTGAGGAGGCTCGATCGACAGTTCGCCGAGTGTGGCTCGGCACTTTCTTGGTGCTTTCCTCTTCCCAGACACCTCGGGCAACACCATCACCGGGATCGTCCTTGACATACTACGCCACTAGTGGGAGAACATAGCGGCG